AAAATGGTTGTTCAGAAGAGCTGCAGTTTCTCAAAGAGACAATATTAAAGGCACAACAGCAACCTATCCCAATGTGAAGGAAAGATAGGAAGAATAATAAGAGGCCAATATGGCTCCATCAAGTCTTTAATGACCTGAAAATCAAAAAGGAATCCTACACAAGTAGAACATGGACAAATTGCTAGAAATAAGTACAAAAGAATAGCACAAGCATGTAGGTACAAAATCTGAAAGGCTAAAGCACAAATGAGTTATGCCTAGCAAAGGACACAAAAGTCAATAAGAAAAAGTTCTATAAATACATTGTCCTGTATGATTTCTACAGAAGTTAGACTTCCATTGTTCCTGATTCCACTATGCTTAATTTACACAGAAGACAGGTAGATAGCTGTGACATTCCCTCTTGTCTGGGCAGACCGTATGGCCTAATATCAATGAGTATCCATAACTCCTATATAATGTTAATACATACATTTCACAATGATATTAATCACCTGTTTGTCATTAGCTTTCAGAAATGACCTCACTTTATATACTTGTATAATACAGTAATATTATATACAATCAGTTGATTCAGTTGTTTATCACTTCCGTTTCAGCCCCCCCCTCCCCCGCCCCCATCTTTATAGATCAGTAAACTTTTGCAATGTATTCTTTGAAAAGTAAAACCGAGGACAAGCTTCTCTCTCCTGCATGTTTCTCACTTATATTCGGTTCCAGAGACTTCAACTCCCACCCCTTTGTTGAAGGACCTATCTGTCTCAGGTCGTAAGAGTTCTATGCCCCTGTGTCTGCCTAGTGATGGATGCCAAAGATGGCTTCTGTCCTTGCTTATATCTTCCAAAGCTCAATTACTTTGTTTCAGGAGGCAGGATGACCTCATACTGTTCTTCCCTTCTTGTGAGGTAAATACAAGTTAGGACAGATTAAGCAGAAGGGGTAACACACATTGGAGGTGGTCACTTGAAATGAAGTGGGCAGTTGGGAGTTAGTAGAATTATGCAGAAAGAAAATAAATAACACTTTGAGATTTTAACTCACTCAAATTTTTCCGCATCCAAGCAGATTCTCTATACTGGTTTGAGCCTTTAAATTTAGCTTTGCATATGAATTTCTTTCGAAGTTCCTCAACTTTAGGACAAAATGTTAATGTACTTGTGCAAAAGAAAAGCCCCTCTGGTCCCTTGGTCGCATCACTAATGAAGGGTTTCTCTGGCACTTGTTCATCTTTATACCAAATCAATTGTTTCAGGGAAGAAAGAATGAACTGTGCAAGTCAAATTAACTGTGCTCATCTGGTTTTGGCACATCTGTAGAACACAGCACTGGATCCAACACTGGCACAGCTAGAAAAGAAAACAATCAGATTTGCACACTTTTTAAAATTTGATGAACAATATATGACTGAGTCCTATAAAATGCTGAGTATCTCCTGCCAGAAACCGCATGCTATCAGCTCTTATGCTGGGGCATCTCTTAAAACGGTAACTGTTGAGGTTTTATAAGAGCTGATGCATTTTCCCAAGTTTTATAATTTCACTCAAAAGTAAAATATTTTACATTGTGCCAAATGAAATACTGTCCTCAGGTACATCAAAAAGTGAACTTAAAAAAATCAAAATAACAAAGTAAATGTAACAAAGGTTAAATTCTAGCTTCCCACTGGTGTATTCTACATGTATTTGTAAATGAGATATTTTCTGATGTCTGTTCAGGAAAAATCAAACCCCCTCCCACCAACAAGAATTCCTTTGGATGTCTATCAATATTATATACTTTTATTTAGAACAAAATATTCCCAAGATTATGCTCTGAATCACAACCTACAGATCTGAAAGCTAGCATGGTAAATCGACTGTGAGTATGCACTTTGCAGTATGCATTTGAAACATCTATATGCAATACTTACAAAAAGATGCAGTTTTTTTATACTATGAGGCTCTACTACTCACCTATGGCTCTGAACAGAAAGCAAACATTACATATTGGTACCTCTAACTTTGGGCAGATGATTGCTTCATTGATACACTGAAGCTGCAACCTTACACATCTGTTCTGCTAAGCAGTCAATCCGTTTGAGAAAACTTGACTGTCTTCTCAATTCTAGACCTAACCCCTACATTTCAGAAGCAGATACAAAAAATCAATTAACTGATTCAGAGCTTGGCATCAAGAATGTCAGTGATTGGGGAACAGGTAATTCTGAATCTACATGTAACTCCTGAGGTTCCAACATTGAAAATGTGATGCCATGACATCAATGTCTACCTTAAGCAACTCAAACTTGTACATGTTGTCTCTGACACAGTAGAAAAGTTCTGTGAAATCTGGGCCCAATATACAGTAGTCTCTGGTTCTGAATGAGAGTTGGCAGATGTAGATCTTATTCCAGTTAAAGGGGCCACATTAATCATAGTAGTCAATGTTTAAAATAACAAATTTAAATGTAAAGTTCTGTATTATTAAATGGAAGAGCAAATATATGTAGGCCTTTCCACCTGAATGTTATCAGGTAGTAAAATACGAGCTCTGAATGTTATTGAATACTATCTTATTGACACTCTTCTACCAACTATTGTGTAGTATATTCATCTTTAAATTCTGTTATCCCTATGCTGAACTATATCTGATGCAAAATATATATATACGTGTGTGTACATTTACCATGTTCAAATAAAACGGTGTATCTCCTCTCAAGGAAAAACAAGGAGTTGGGATTGCAGGGACTACCAATCAGTAGTGAGGTACATTGGCAAAGCTGGAGTGGGAACCCATCTACAGATCAGGCCATACCCACAAAAAAGCAGTCTGCTTCAAGCCATTGCTGCTAATTCTTCTTGCTCATAAGCATTAAGTTGTACAAAAATGTATGAAAAAATAGGGTTCATATGCACACATCTACCAAATTAGAGGCACTGTTACCATAGAGTAAGAGTTGAATTGTGCCCTAACTTACATAACAAAAGGTATTTTGCCTTTTGCCACATGTGTGTTCTGACCACCACCTGAACCTCATAGACTCATAGACTTTAAGGTCAGAAGGGACCAGTATGATCATCTAGTCTGACCTCCCGCATGATGCAGGCCACAAAAGCTGACCCACCCCCTTTCCCTTGACTCAGCTGTTGAAGTCCCCAAATCCTGTGATTTAAAGACTTCAAGTCGCAGAGAATCCTCCAGCTAGCGACCCCCGCCCCATGCTGCGGAGGAAGGCGAAAAACCTCCAGGGCCTCTGCCAATCTACCCTGGAGGAAAATTCCTTCCCGACCCCAAATATGGCGATCAGTAGAATGTGCCCATTGAAATCAATAGTCAAGCTTCCACTGACTTCAATCATGTAAGATAAAGACCCAGGTCAGGATAGGGGGATGTGTTGCGAAATTCATATCGCTGCATCTCTGAGAAGTAGCAAAAGGGGTGTTACCAGTTATCATTTGCTAATGACAACATATATGCCAGTGATTTGGGTTTTTTCAGAGGTTAAACATGCCACCAATTCACAGACTATGCCCTCTTTAGGGTGGCAGGCCAGTATACTAGCCAGGCATACTTTCTACCATCTGTAATTCCTTTAGACTCTATGTCCATATCAAGTGTACCCTTTGAGTTCTCCATTGCAAGAAGTACATGATATTTATGAATACTTAAAAGGACCTGTCATTCTCAAGCATCCATGTTTCTAGGAATTTCAAATGCAAGCTAGGGAAGCACTTTGTGACTCTAACATCTTATACGGGGGAGGCTGGGAACAAGGAGAATGACTAGATGCCAGGGAATTCAGTACTGATATAACAACATAGCCACATAGGCAGGACCTATTATCTTACCACCAGCAATGCTATGTGTACAGATAAGGATAACTAAAGCCCAGAGATCATCCAGGAAAGGAAGCCTGAGGCAGAGCAAATGACTCTTATCCTCAGAAAAAAAACACCCAGCCTCACTACCCTGAAGCAAAACAAAAAACAATTACTGCCTGAATTTCCCATCATGTGGATTTGCAGTGTGGAGCTAGACTCAATATTCATTTTGAGAAATGTTTTATTGTAATGCCAGCTATGAACCTGTCAACAGGAAACCTACTGCACTTGCAGAAGCTAAACCAACCCCTTCACATACTGTAAAGCACTTTGCTTACCTATGACCTTCAGGGTTCTTGACTGAACAGCAGAACATTGCTGAAGGGCCTTATGTGTCACTTCAAGAGAGCGCTCTGCCTTGTCAAGCTCATGCACGTCTGGAGATACATGAATAGTGCACGGAACTTCGAAAGTGCCATTACCTAGTGACTTCCAATGTATCTGAAACTGAAAATTCTTTGACATAGGACAGCAGCACTTTCCCCATCTCATTCGAGAGCACCCTTTATTTCACTGTTCCAAGAGTAAATTTTCTCCTTTTGTTCTTGTTGATACTTGTTTAGAAAAAAGGCTACACTTAAAGGTTTTAGGCGAAAGCCTGAAATCTGGCAATGCAAAAAAGCATCTTCCAAATGCTTCATTTCCGCATTCCCTACGAATGGTATTATTGTTGGTGGTGTGACAGGTTGGACCCCCTTTTCCGGGATGCTACTTGATGTGCTGGAGTCCTACTGAGCCTGCCCTTTCCACCAGCCCGGGTTTCCTCGCCCTGCTCTTGCTGTGCCAGGCTCTCAAGCCTTCTCTGGCACACACACAGGTAAGGCCGCATCAAGCTGCAGACACAGACTGCAACCAGCTCTGTGTGGAAAGACTCAGCTCGGGGATTATACCCAGCACTCACGTGCACATCCCTTTTGGGGTGCAAACCCAAAATAATATTGTCTTGTGCTCTATAGAGAAATCTGTACAGCATTAGCTCATAAAAATTGCCCTCCCCTCCCCCCCCGCCACCTCCCAGATATGAGTTGCACAACCTGGGTTATGTTATAAACAAGAAATACGTTTATTAACTACAAAAGGTAAATTTTAAGTGATTATAAGGGATAGCAAACAGAACAAGGAAGATTACTGAGCAAATAAAATCAAACACTCAAACTAAGCTTAATACACTCAAGACATGGGTTACAAAATGTAATTTCTCACCCTAAATGTTATTTTAGGCAAGTTGCAGAGTTTCTGTAGCTTAGAGTTCCAGTTATTTCTATTTAAAGACTGGACCCCTTGTCTCAGCCTGGACTCAGCCCTTGCCTTGCCTTCAGCTCAGTTCCTTTGTCTCTTCAGGTACTTTCAGCAGTCTTTCTTCTTGGGCAGGAAGGCAATGGAGAAGAGTCCTCTTTGTCTTACTCCCCAGCCTTAAATAGAATTTACATAAGGCGGGAAGCCTTTGTCTCCAGTGGAAAAGTACCAGCAGTGTCCAAGGTGGTACTTTGTACCAGGTGACATTGTCCAGTGACCTAGCAGTGTCAAAGCAACTATGAAACCAGGTTTATTTGCAATGTCCATAGGAAGGAACTCCCAGAAGATAGGAGATCCACATCTTTAAAGACTCATTGTCTTTTCCTAACGGTCCATCAAGGCTGATTGCTTACTCTGTGGTGGGCATCTCCAAGTATAACCATGGTTGTAATTGTTACATAGTCAATATTCCTAACTCCAGATACAGAAATGATACATGCATACAGATTGGATAATCACATTCAGTAAATCATAACCTTTCCAATTATATCTTACATGAGTCATCTTGCATAAAATATATTTTAGTTATGCCATATTCATATTGTAGGCATATTTCTATAACGAATATGGAGTGTCACGTCACAGGTGGAACTGCAAGGAAAAATATGTAAATTAGTTGCTTGATGCATCACATTATGAAGAAAGACAAGTGAAAAAATTAACTGAAATTTTTCTATCTCTGCTGCATAACATTACACTATATTTCAATACACTAAAAACCTATCAAAATTAATTACATAAGAATGGCCCTACTGGGTCAGACCAAAGGTCCATCTAACCCAGTATCCTGTCTTCTGACAGTGGCCAGTGCCAGGTGCCCCAGAGGGAATAAACAGAACACGTAATCATCAAGTGATCCATCCCCTGTCGCTCATTCCCAGCTTCTGGCAAACAGAAGCTAGGGACACCATTCCTGCCCAACCTGGCTAATAGCCATTGATGGACCTAGCCTCCATGAATTTATCTAGTTCTTTTTGAACCCTGTTATGGTCTTGGCCTTTACAGCATCCTCTAGCAAGAAGTTCCACAGGTTGACTGTGCATTGTGTGAAGAAATACTTCCTTTTATTTGTTTTAAACCTGCTGCTTATTAATTTCATTTGGTGACCCCTAGTTCTTGTGTTATGAGACGTAGTAAACAAACTTCCTTATCTACGTTCTCTACATCAGTCATGATTTTATAGACCTCAATCATATCTCCCCTTAGCCCTCTCTTTTCCAAGCTGAAAAGTCCCAGTCTTATTAATCTCTCCTCATACAGAAGCCATTCCATACCCCTAATCATTTTGTTGCCCTTTTCTGAACCTTTTCCAATTCCAATATATCTTTTTTGAGATGGGGCAACCACATCTGCACACAGTATTCAAGATGTGCTATGTGTATTATGGATTTATATAGAGGCAACAGGATATTATCTATCCCTTCCTTAATTATTCCCACCATTCTGTTCGCTTTTTTGACTGCCACTGCACATTGAGTGGATGTTTTCAGAGAACTATCCACAATGACTCCAAGATCTCTTTCTTGAGTGGTATCAGCTAATTTAGACTTCAACATTTTATATGTATAGTTGGGATTATGCTTTCCAATGTGCATTACTTTGCATTTATCGACATTAAATTTCCTCTGCCATTTTGTTGCCCAGTCACCCAGTTTTGAGAGATCCTTTTGTAGCTCTTCGCAGTCTGCCTGGGTCTTAACTATCTTTAGTAATTTTGTATCATCTGCAAATTTTGCCACCTCATGGTTTACCCCTTTTCCCAGATCATTTATGAATATGTTGAATAGGACTGGTCCCAGAACAGACCCCTGGGAGACACCATATTTACCTCTCTCCATTCTGAAAACTGACCATCTATACCTACCCTTTGTTCCCTATCTTTTAACCAGTTACCAATCCATGAGAGCACCTTCCCTCTTATCCCATAGCAGCTTACTTTATGTAAGAGCCTTTGGTGAGGGACCTTGTTAGATTTCTGAAAATCTAAGTACACTATATCCACTGGATTCCCTTGGTCCATATGCTTGTTGACCCCCTCAAAGAATTCTAGTAGATTGGTGAGTCATGATTTCCCTTTACTAAAACCATGCTGACTCTTCCTCAACAAATTGTGTTCATCTATATGTCTGACAATATTGTTCTTTATTATAGTTTCAAACAGTTTGCCCGGTACTGAAGTCAGGCTTACTGACCTGTAATAGCCGGGATCACCTCTGGAGCTCTTTTTAAAAATTGGCGTCACATTAGCTATTCTCCAGTCATCTGGTACAGAAGCTGATTTAAATGATAGGTTATAGACTACAATTAGTAGCTCTGCAATTTCACATTTGAGTTCCTTCAGAACTCTTGGGTGAATACCATCTGGTCCTGGTGGCTTATTGCTGTTTAATTTATCAATTTGTTCCAAAACCTCCTCTAATGATACCCCAATCTGGGACAATTCCTCAGATCTGTCACCTAAAAAGAATGGCTCAGGTTTGGGAATCTCCATCACATCCTCAGCCATGAAGACCAATGCAAAGAATTCATTTAGTTTCTCCACAATAGCCTTCTCATCCTTGAGTTCTCCTTTAGCACCTCGATCGTCCAGTGGCCCCACTGGTTGTTTAGCAGGCTTCCTGATTCTGATGTACTTACTTATGTTTGCCAATGCTGTCATATTTAATTTATATATATATATATATATATATATATATATTGTACTGCTAAACCATCCAGTTGAGTTCCCTTGATTCAAATGCCCCAATTTTTTTTTCTTATCCACAGTTCTTGGCAGATAAGTGACTATATGGTCAGCTACTTACAGCCTCTGACTTTTCAGCCTGTTACATGAATCTCTCTCATGAAGGCGGTGATTTGGGCAGGAGTTACTTCTCCCTTTGTGTGTGTGAGAGTCAGTGTTTTTTCTGCACAGTTACACTAACAAAAATGCATCAGCATACTGTTACCACTTTAAGTTAGTTCCAGTTACTATTGATGCTGTGTTTGTGCTACTAAACCAATAAAAGGCAACTTTAAGAGCAAACCTTTATGTGACAGTATGTGAAAGCAGAGCATTTCTTACCAAGCCTGTCATTTCTCCTGACTGATAGCTATCAAGTTACAGGTTGTTTAAAATGTTCTAGTCACATACAGTATGACCCCAATTTTTCCCAAAGGGCTTCAGAGGCACCTGACACATTTAGCAAACATTGTTTTTTTCATAAGCAAGGGAGCAAAAGCGTGGTGGGAGATGACTAACCTTCACTTAATGGGTGAGTGGATAACGAACATTCCAAGGTTTTGATTATTGTTAGTTTGTCACTGGTGTTAAGGGTTAGAATTCAAGCATTCACAAGAGCTACTGGTTGCCATTAAGATATCCTTAGCACAGTGCACCTTTAAAACTACTTACTTTTCTTCAAACACCTACGGTACACGAAAGTACCCAAACCGAGCACAATAATACAGGCTAGTATTGTTCCAATGACTGCTCCAATTATAGTGTTCAAATGTGACTTGGGGGCTGTGAATGAAAAAAAATGAAGAAAATTCTGATTCTATGCTTGTTCATATTAAAAAAACAAATTTTAGTGGACTGCACCTACACTTTCACAGTAAATGATTAACTGGTTATTTTTCTTGCTGAGTATTGTCATAAGAAAGTCAAAGTAAGAGTAAAACTTCTACTAGCCACTACACTACTAAAGAAATCACAGAATAACTGCCAGGCACATTGTGTTGTATCAAACCACAGCTTCAAAATGCCTTCCCCATAAGTAGACAGCATTAAGGGTATCAAAATGCCCACTTAAAAACTTAAATATTAACAACATTCTATAGAATGAGGATAATAAAATGTAGGGTCAAGACAGCCTTTTGTAAAACACACCTGTGGATCAACTCAATTAGCTCAGAGAGGCCCTAAAATGTGGCATGTCACCCAATCTTACCAACACAAATATATGGCACTAAAATGGTGCATCCAGAAAAGCCCTGATATCAAAACGTCAGACCTTTGAAATGTTGCCACCATATTTCAACCCTTTCTTTTCACTGAACTGGCTCTCCTTGGCTGCTCTGCCACTCCTCCCGCTCCCTTTCTGGCTGGCATGTCAGCAAGCGGACTGTTCTGAATGTCACTGCATGACCAGCTCTCCTGCCCTGCTGTCTATCTCAGATGACACCTGGTATCACTGCACCGCTGGGACAGCATAAGGTTGACAAGGTTCAAATTCCTTCAGAAGAGGTCTAGCCATAGCATTCTGGAACACATGATATATCAAAAGAAAGAAGATAAGACCCTAAATGGGAATGGATACCTGTGACAGTCAAGGTGCTATTGAGAAGTAACTTGGCAGGAAATGTTTTGTGACTCACAATACATCTATAGACATTTCCATTATCTTGCAAAGACGGTTGCAGCCTTAGTATGCTAGTGACATTAAATGTGCCATCTTCATTTTCTACAGAGGCTCCTGTGTGGATATCCTCTGCTGCTACGCTACTGTCCTGGTTATTCTTTGAAATCTTCATCCACTTAATGTCAACCAAATTTGGATAGAACTTATTGACTTCACACGACAGGGTCTTCTCCTTGTCACTTTCTATTGTAACTTCCTTTGGAGACAGGCTGACTTCCGGTTGAGCTGTATGGAGATAAAGGTTTTATTACTGTCGTCATCATCAGGGATATTCTGGCTCTTTAACAGTGTTAATGTACACTGAATACACACAGTACCTAAATGTCTGATATGTGCATGTTTAATGTTCATTGCAGGAGTGGGGGTTTTTTGTTTTGTTTTTGGGTTGTTTTCTTTTATAATCCCCCAGAAACAAGATCACAGAAGAGAATATTCTTTAGAAAATAAATATCATTTATGATCATTAGGACTTCAGAAGTTTTGTTATTTTCTGCTCTTTGTAAATAAGTATCTACAAAATTAATAGAGTTTCTCAGATTTAGAGCATGTCTGGATATTGAAAATGCCACTGCAAGTCTGAGGATTGGATAATGAAAACGTTACCTGGCCAAAACCTTAGAGATTATGACAAACAGGCTATTTAGGCCCATATTTTCCCCTGGCCTGCAAAAAATTCATGGAAGGGGAATATTTAGACTGATACAACTATGGAGAGGTTGCAGGGCAAAATGAACTGCAGTCTTCTCTGCTTGTGGCAAGGAAAGTGACAGTGAATAAGGAATAGGGATTGTGCCCTTTTAAAGGCAACTATGATGGAGAGACATAAAAAATACCAGGATAAACTCCAAATACATTAGCCTGATGAAGACTGCTAATCCCCATATAAAATCTCCTGCAGAAGGCTGGGCTCACCACACCACCACCATAACTGTTAGCACAGCTTACCCAGGTTCTGTGGCTATTCCACTGATATAATGCAATTCTCACCCCCACCCCATCCCCACAGAGGCTCAAGGGGGTGAGGAAATTGGTACCACTAAGATGGATTCTAATCTTCTGCCTTCGGGTCTCCAGGTGATGCAGTATAAAAGAAATGGTACAATAAAGTCACTTACCAACTACCTCTAAAACAGCTGTTCCATGAGCATCAGAAGGTGCGACAATAACATAGCACCTATATATTCCTGCTTCCTTAAACTGTATCTGTAGTAGAGAGAGTGCAGCATTTCCTCTTCTCAGGTCACTGTCAGACATACTGGCCCCATTTCTATGGGAAATATGTGCTCCAGCATGAAATGTGAATACTTTTTCTTCTTGGTCTGTCCTCGGAGTCTTAAGATACCAGGTAACTCCCACGTTCTTGCTATCCAGTTCTGCTGTATTGTACCCAGAGATCTTGCATGGTATGGAGATGTTATCATTCAGTGACACGATCAGTGGGGTGCTGCCCATCAACACTTGAAGAGTTTCTTCAAAAATAGAAAATGTATATTTGGAGCAATACATTCTAAAGGCAAGGTTCCTTTTAAAAGAGTTATTATTGGCTCAATGATCATGCAGTTTTTTAGTAGCCTGTTTCTGCACCCATAATCATTTATAACCTCTCTCTATGGTAATCTAATGAAAGCTTTCCTTCCTAAATTGATAATGGCTTTATGAATAACAATCTTTGCTTTTATTTGAATGAAATAATAGAGATAACACAGGCTAGTTGGGTGGCCCTGGCTCTTGGGAACTACCATGCAGGAGAAACTTTAGCAGTGAATACACTGCATTTTACATGTAATACACTGGAGCTTTGTGGTAGAACTACAGCAGCAAGTGATGGGGAAAAAATGTCTATTCTATCTATCTGTCCATCCCAGGTATATATATGGACCCCATTACCATAATAGCTGAGCACCTCACACTCTCTTATGTATTTTATCCTCACAGCATCCTTGTGAGGTAGGGAAGTGCTATTATCCCCATTTTACACATGAGGATATGATGCACAGAGAGACTGAATGACTTGCCCACGGCCAGCCAGGAAGGTGGCGCAGAGAATTTAATGCAGGTGAGTTCCAGACTAGTGCCCTAAGCCAGGAGTCACTTGTCCATCTCCTTTGAAGGAAAAACTGTCCTGCTGGCTCCCCATCACTGCTAGAGAGATAGACACAACATCACCAATTTCTTTTGCCTTCCCCTTGAGGGGAAAGACAAATGAATAATTAATATAGATAGATTATTACAAAAAGTCTATTTTTGGAAATGACTCAGAATTTCACTGGGTGTTTCAAAATATCCAGGAAACAACTCCAGGATCTCCATAATCTCAATCTTTGGCAAATCTAAGTGATAACAGTAATAGAAATGGCACCATATGCACATTTTCTTGCTTGGCTGCCTATGGGGACACTGTCTCCATTCAGGTACATTTCTGCTCTTGTCCCTATTTTCCATTTGCCCGTGTTCTGTACACACAGGATGGTGTAATGCAGCATCACTCAATAATGATGAGAACTGTGACCTCAGCCTCTCAAATTTATGGGCTCCCTCTAAGACTTGTGCATTCACACATGGTTTAAAGTTATTGATTTTCAACTTTCTGAACTCAGACTCATACTGCTCATGTACCAGGAGCTTCAGGAATCCTTGTATAACACTCACTCAGGTGGAGAGATGACATGAGATGGCATGTGCTGAGGCTGAGGAAGATTACCAGGGGATGGAATGGAGGTTGTATCACTCCCTTACTGTACTCATTGCATTGACAAGACCTGTATGGACCATAGGAGGTCTGTTGGTGGTCTCAAGAATTTAATTGTTACTGCAGAGTCCTGAAGCAGGGGGGAACCTACCCACCATATCTATGCAGCCAAATTGGGCTCTACAGTTATGGAGGCAACTTCAGCAGATATGGAGGAGGAAACTCCTCCCTAATGGGTCACCAAATAATTCATCCCCACCCACCCCACCAGCACAGAATTCATGATTCCTGAAGTGGTGGGGAGGCACTGCATACTCATAGTGCCATGATGTGGGTGGTGGTGGTGGGTTGGTTTCTTCTCTTTTCCCACTGCCCCCAGAGGAACTTTAGAAGGACTGTGCTCCCCTTATGCAGCACTTTCAGCTGACAACACTGAAATTAGCAACCAGGGGAGGTGATAAGGTCAGGTGGACAATTAAAAGGACATTGAAAAACAAAAGAAAAAGAAAAATCTTTTAGAACACAGGAATCCTCCAACCCCCTTTCCATAGCAGTGGCTATGGGATCCTGCTGGCCAAGTCAGGGAGACACACTGGGTTATTGTGAGCTGATCTGAGAAGTAAGGATTTAAGTGACCTCCTTTTCTTCTCTCAAACAATTCTCCAACTTGCTTCTGTGAAGAAGAGGTCAGATGCTTCCACACTGAGCCAACTGTCCTGAAGATCAATCTGCCCAATTCATGGAACAGTTTATGTGGCAGTGAGGGATTACCCCTATCCACTGTTACTGAATAACCAGCCCTGAGGATTTGGTCCACCAGGAATACCTGGCATACTTCCCTTTTACATGTCTATTTTTAGTGGCCGTCTAGCCTGAGAGGCTACAACCCATCTGTGGCTTAAAAATAGTTCAGCTGAGAGCTTCTCAGCTCTAACTCTTAAGGTTTTGCCCAATAGGACATCTCTTAGATATGAAATCATTTCCTGGGGTAGAATATTTATTCCATGCTATTGGCACTATGTTTAGGTTTGCTCACATATTACAGTTTGGAGTGAAGCTTTATAGAGAAAATGTGTCAAATTAACCTTTCCGCTGTTAAAGGCTGTATGCACTTTTTGCTGTCAATAAGAGGAGACTCTGAAACTGTTCTGAAGGAGCTGGTACGGGCCATTTTCTGACCCCAGGTGATATTTCTGGACTAAATGCTGCCACCCCATAGCCCCACCCTCTTGCAGTTTGCTAATGCTCTTTGAATAAGAAAGGAAGGAAGGGGGCCAGAAATAAAGCGGTGTGTCAGGGAATGGCATGTGCCAGCTACTTCGGAACAGCCTAATAGTCATAAGGATGAGTCCCTTGACGTGCCAAGGATTTTCTGACAGCTACTCAAAGCCGATTCCTCACTCCAGGAGCATTTGCAAAATGGAAAATTGGGTGGGTGATATATGACAGCATGTTGCACAGAAGTAAAGCTTCAGGTCAGGGAGTGGCATGTGCCATCTACCGCAGAACAGATTAATAGTTGCAGGCATGGGTCAAGTTATTTGTCAGTTATACACCCTCAGACATCAGTTACTTATTGCAAGTGAGAGGCCATTACACCATGTGGGATTGGGGGGTCTTGCTCGAATATATATTGTTACAACATCCAAGAGCTGGTGAAATTTCTAAAACTATAAGCCCGCAGCAATGACTTTTGATGGCCTTTGGAATAAAGACCTGGGACTAAGGAACCAGCTTCTGCCTTGGGACGCCAGAAGCGTCACCCCTGCCCCCAGACACATCCCCACCCACTCCCCCTCCGGGCGAGTGTTCGGGGGTGGGAGAGGACCAGGACCTTGGGCTGGGAGAATCCGCAGGCTCAGGAGGACCCCAGTGACCCTGCCCCTATAGCCTCTTTGCCAAGGGACAGCCGAAGTTGGACCCAATCCTCCCCCGCCTTATGGGACCCGGGATCCCTCCTTTACCTGCAGGCTGGAGCGCGCCGCTGAGACACAGGAGCAGCCTGAGCAGCCGGCAGCACCGCCCGGCAGAGCCCGCTCCCCACCCCATGCTCTGAGGTAGAGTGGGGGCTTCGCTGGCCCAGGTCGTGGCAGTGACAGGGCTGAGCGGTTCCCCTTCATTTTCCTCCCTCGGACACGTGCCCCAATAAGGCAGCGCCCCGGGCGGGGCTGGGAGCCAGCAGGTGGCTGCTGTGACTATATAGGGCAGTGACCGGGCTGCAGGCACTGTGCAGCCACCCACAGTTCAGTGCCCCTCGGGCAGCGCCTGGGAAATGTACCCGACCGGCCCGGGTTAATCCCCGCTCCGCAGATCGGGAACTGACCCTCAAAGACTGGCACCCTCGTCTCCGTGTTTAGGGACTGTTGCTCAGTGCCTGGGCTGACCTAGCGGGTATGTGCTGGACTATTGCTAGCACCAGCGGGCGTTAAGAATAGATTTGCAGCCTTAACTCTGGATTTTCTAGCTGTTGTGAGTTTACATCACAGACTCCCACCGTCTCATCTGAACGTCCTTTTTTTTTTTTTTGGTTTGATTAACTGGCCTCCTTCATCAGCGAGCAATATGCAAGTTATTTCACTTAAGTGATCGCCACTTTCTCACGCACTCCACATTCACAGGCAGAATTTGGTAAAATAAAACAAACAAACAAAACACCAGCCATCTGGTTCTGAGTTCCAATTTTACCCACTTACAAATTAATCTGTACAAAGTATGACTGAGGCAACATTATTCCACAAACACTGCACTGGGCATTCTTAATTTTTACCAGTGACCAACCCTCTGCCCCCCTCCATTCCATCAACAATCCCTGCCTTAAAAGACTGTAAAATCAATGTTTACATCTGTTGGAAATCTCAGAATTCTTACCCAAGCCAAGGTGCATTCAGCTATTGCCATGCCAGGCAGTTGGAGAAGGACAGGAGCATCAAGGATTCCATTCCATTCTCACTAAAAAGCACCATTTTTATTACTCAGGGTGGTAGCAAAAAGTATGTGCAGTGTTGTTTGTTGTCAGACAAATGGAAGTCAATTGCATTTTTAAAAGGCATGTGTAACATTTTAAGCAACATTGGGCATGCTAAATTTATGTTCTGTCACTTAAATTTCAAATCAGATTGTTCTGTTGATTTGCATGATCATTTGGTATTGATTTATCCTGATTGAATGATGCTTTTTCTTAGAAACCAAGTCTAGCATATAGCAGGCTGTTTTATTTAGGGGGTTGCAAAGAATATAATAAATTTCTGATATGTTAACATTTTTAAAACACAAATGCTATCATAATTTAAAGAAAGGCTCTAACAATAATTATTGCAATTAAGTGGAACTGAATAATGCAAGACCAGGCAGCAATATTTGTGACAAATACAAAAGTTCCATGAAGATGTCTGTTTAGGTTACAGTGCTTAATGTCTTAATGAACTAAATTTAGGAATTCATTTACTCTACATGTTGTATTGTGTGGATCCAACTATTGCAAGTGCAATATGCAATGTATGCTTTTCAATACATTAAAACTCCTCTACAGATCAGATCTGAAAACTTCTTGATTCAGACATTAGTCTGAGTTACTGACAAATCATCTGCTGAGCCAGTCTGTTTTACAAATTAAAGTTAGCAAAGAAATGGTCACAAGCAAATCAAACTGCCACTGACTGTTGCCCTGGTGGCAGGAGACCTAGCGGGCTGCACGAGTACACAAGTCAAGGGGGAGTGGCCAACTTACAAAACTGAACTGCCACCACTAACTGCATGTCTGAACTGTGGAAGACAGAGCTGCAGAATACATCTTTTCCCTCTTGAGATTTCAGGCCCTGATTCTAAGCCAACTGAAGTCAATGGGAGTCTTTGAATCCAGGGTGAAATCCAAACCCCTTTGACATCAGTGGGATTTTTGTTATTGATTTCAATAGAGCCAGAATTGCATCCTCAGAATTTAGCACTGTGAATAGATTAATGGGCCAAGTAGCAGATCCAGATGATACATGAATTTTCTTTTGTCACGTGTATGAAGCATCTGTCAATGTTCAAGTGGTGACATGCTGAGAGATGTAGTAATCCCTTTTCCCTCCCTGCTTTCAATGCCACCTTTTCATGGACACCTTTCTGAGCATGCTCTCCTAACAGCTATGTGATGCTTCCCAGAGGTACCCAGGATTGTGAGACACCTCACTACCACCTGCCTTTCGGGCAAGGAAGCCTTGTATGTGCCTCCTGTGAGTCAGTTCCCTAGCACCACCAGCCTCTGGCCAGGGCAGGCTCCAGGGTTTTGGCCGCCCCAAGCAGACAAAAAAAAAAAAAAACGCGATCATGATCTGCGGCGACAATTCGGCGGGAGGTCCTTCGCTCTGAGAGGGAGTGAGAGACCGTCCACCGAATTGCCGCCGAATAGCTGGACGTGCCGCCCCTCTCCGGAGCGGCCGCCCCAAGCTCCTGCTTGCCAGGCTGGTGCCTGGAGACGGCCCTGCCTCTGGCAATACAAGCCCTGCCTTCCAGCCTTCTGCAGGCCTTGCTCTCTCTTTACAGGTTAGCGATAGGCTCACTCCAACCTCAAGTCCTCCATGGTGTTTCCCTAGTGTGCCCAGCTCCTGAGCTACTGGACTCTCACAGAATTCCCAGATCCTCTGCTCCCAAAGGAGCTGTACACCAGAGCTTTCCAAACACAGCTCTGCTTAACTCAAAGCACTTCATTTGTTTATAGGGAAAGCAAGTATAATTTTATTGAACCAAGACCAGAGATTCAAATGATAGCAAGCAGCAATATTGAAAACAAGGTTACAGATAAAATAAAAGCATGACACACATACTAGAGCCTGAACTTAACTAATAGGCCATTATTATGTCATAAGAGCAAAAGCTCACCCAAAATCCTTCCAGTGTATTACAGACGCCTGGTGGGATCTTTCATTCATGAAGCAAGCCCGCTGTCAGCTTCCATCCTCGGCGAAAGATACCAGGGTGTGCCTTTGCAACCCCAGATATATCAAAAGAGCCCTTTGATCTTTATTCCTAAACCAGACACCATCTGGTTGTATGCTCCTTCCTGTAGATTTTATGATCCTTTGTTAATTTCTTAATTTTGATTATCTGGTTGCTTAGTATGCAAATGGGCATCCATTGTGAAGTATACAATATTCATTTTGCATACAACCAGACAGATAGATAAGCGTCTCCTGCCTGTCTGAAGGAAACATGTTTGTCACCTCATGGTGACCTGCTTTAACTCACAGACCTTAAGAACATAATTTCCAGTATAAGAACATAACTCCTTATAATATTATCTTTACATACATTTTGAAATGGTTATGATGAGCTGGGGGTTTGTGGCTCTTAGCAGAGATCTCACATGCCACCCTTTATGAATTATTATGCATATAACTGACCCAGGAGATCCCTATTGTGGGGTTCCATGCGGAGCAGATAAAGCACACGACCAATGTGGTTGCAAGCTGAATCCGAATTCTGTTTATTGCAAGCTTTCTTTTATAGTTTTTCTCTACATTACATAACACAATTAGGCTATAATAACACATCTACGGATTGGACAAGAAGGAGAATCATGTGTTTATCACATGTATAGCTCCACACCGATTGGTTCAACCGTTCCTTACATAAGGCCATGATTTGTTTACCTCATCTTATATAATCCTAGACCACCAGGGGGCCTTACATAAGGCCATGATTTGTTTACCTCATCTTATATAATC